TATTTATTTGCGAGAGAGAGAATGAGAGACAGAGAGCATGAGAGGGAGGAGGGTCAGAGGGAGAAGCAGACTCCCTGCTGAGCAGGGAGCCTGATGCGGGACTCGATCCCGGGACTCCGGGATCATGACCTGAGCCGAAGGCAGTTGCTTAACCAACTGAGCCACCCAGGCGCCCCGTATTATTATAAATAAGTACATTATTTAGTATTTTAGAATGTGTAAGTCTTATGGGAAAATCATAATGAAATAAGAGGAGTGTAGGGTAGAGGTGGGGACCATGCGGGGCAGGCAGTGGGAAATGATGCAGGTTGCAGTTTTAAACAGGGTGGTCAGGTTAGGCCTCATTGAGAAACGGAAATGCAGAGACTTGAAGGAGATAAAGGAGTTAGCTACGTGAGTGAATGGAGGAAGACAGTTCAAGATCAAGCACTTGGTACAAATGAGCCGTAAGAAGGGCTTATGGATTTTTAAATAGTTGAAAAATCAAAAGAAAAATAGGAGTTCATGACACAGGGAAGTTGTATGAAATTCAAACTTCAGTGTCCTTAAATAAAGTGGTAACGGACCACAGCCACACCCATTTGCTTATTGGCTGCTTTGGCGCTACAAGGACTGAGTGGAATAGTTTTAACAGAAACTAGGGCACGAACACTAAAATATTGGTAAGAGTTTATATGGTTTCATAAATGCAGGGGTGGCAATTTCACCATTATTACCAGGCCAACACATTATCAAGTAAGATAACAAATCATAGATACAGGCTGTTCTTTGAAGGTTATTTTCGCAACATTTCTTAAAGCCTTAGCTGTTTTACTAGACCCCTTTGTTCGAATTATTCTTCCAAGACAGTGAACAGAACAAGTTGGTAACACTTAGGAATATCCACAGAAGTCTCTATATTGCACAGAAAAACAAGTTTGATGTTCTAATGAATGTTATCAGTTTAACACCCCATTAAATCAGATGTTTTTTAACAAGTTGTAAATGTGAAGAGGTCTTTCTTCCTCGGAGGCTACTGAAGAGCAAACATCTCCTTCATCTCTTTCTGAGACTCTTTTTGTTAATTATGAAGACTTGCTTTTTCTTTTTCTTTTTAATTTAAGTCAGGCACTGGAATTTCATGATTTAGCATGAAAAGCGAAAAGCTACAAGCAAGCCAGTAGAGCTCAATTTGAAACGTAGAAACAGAATAGGAATAAATAGGAATTTCCTCAGTCATACAAGGATCATGAAGCATTCACCTTCCATATTTGATACAGCATGGGAAAAGCTTGCCCGATAATGAAAACAACAAAGAGAAAACAGACCCAAGAGGTGGAGAAAGGCAATTTCTGAAAATGTCTTATGAGGGCCTAGACCCAGCCTTTCAGATATGTGAGCCAATAAAGTCCTTTTGGTGCTTGAGCCGGTTTGGGTTGGGTTTTGTCACTTACAACTGAAATAGTCCTTGGGCACGTGACTGGCTCAGTCGGTAGAGCATGTGACTCTTGATCTCAGGGTTGTGAGTTCGAGCCCCACATTGGGTATAGAGATTACTTAATAATGAAATCTTAAAACAAAACTGAAGCAGTCCAAACATGAGGACAGGTTCCAGGAAGAGTTAGAAGAGATGATCCACAGAGTTGGTGGGACTCAATGAGGGATGAGAAGGAGATAGATGGCTTAAAGGTGACCTTGGAAGTGTCGCACATCAGAGGTTTGAAGAACAGTGGGTACAGGCATAGAAACAGGAACACTGGTAGAAGTGAACCAGCCGGGCAGGCTCAGGAATCAAGTTCGAGTTGAATTTGAGGTGATGGTAGGTGTAGCCTATGTAGGAAACCTCTAAATATGCTGTTATAACATAAAAATTATTTTGAGCTGAAAGCAATTAGAAGCAGCTAAACCTATCAAAATCTCCCCCTTTTATACCTAAAGACAGGGCATAAATTCTCCTTTTACTAGAGACAGACTCTTACCGGCCCAGAGACGCAACAGAGGAATCTGCAAACAAACTTAACTCCATTTGTTTCCGCTCATATATTTACCTTCCCACGGTTTGCTGCCCTAGGAGACTAAAACTGCTTTGTCCTGTCATTTCTTTACAAATGAATTGTTGAAGATGCTACATGAGCTGGAATTTGAAGCCTTCATTTCGAGTTACTTTTGGTTTAGGTTTCTGCTGCGTGATGTGCGCTGCATGTATTAATACAGGCGTACCTCGAAGATATTGCAGGTTCGATTCCAGACCACTGCAATAAAGCAAATATCACAATAAAGTGAGGCAAATGAATTTTTTTATTTCCCAGTGCACGCAAAAGTTATGTTTATGCTGTAGTCTATTGAGTATGCTATATAGCATTATGTCTAAAAAATGTATAATCTTTTTTTTAAGATTTTATTTATTTGAGAAAGAGAGCGCGTGCATGAGCAGGGGGGAGGGGAAGAGGGAGAGGCAGACTCCCTGCTGAGCAGGGAGCCCAATGCGGGGCTCTATCCTAGGACCCCGGGATCGTGACCTGAGCTGAAGGCAGACGCTTAACTGGCTGAGCCACCCAGGCATCCCTAAAAATGTATAGTCTTAATTAAAAAATACTTTATTGCTAAAAAAAATGCTAACCACCAACTGAATGTGACCATCAAGTCACTTTTTTTTGCTGCTGGAAGGTCTTGCCTCGGCACTGATGGTTGCTGACTGATCAGGCGGTGGTTGCTGAAGGTTGGGGTGGTTGGGTGGCTTATTTCTTAAAATAAGACAGTGATGAAGTTTGCCACATTGATTCCTCTTTCACGAATGATTTCTCTGTAGCATGCTTGCTGTTTGGTAGCATTTTATCCACATTAGAACTTCTTTCAAAACTGGAGTCACTCCTCTCAATCCCTGCTGCTGCCTTTTCAACTAAGTCTGTGTCATATTCTAAATCCTGTGCTATCATTTCAACTTCTTCACAACTTCTCCACCAGGAGTAGATTACAACCACCCTCTGCTAGCTTCAAACATTTCTTCTGCAGCTTCCTCACCACTCTCAGCCTCCCCAGAATTGAAGAGAGTGAGAGCCTGGCTCTGGGTTAGGCTTTGGCTTAGGGAAATGTTGTGGCTGGTTTGATCTTCTATCCAGACCACTGAAAGTGTCTCCTTATCAGCAACAAAGCTGTTTTGCTGTCTTACCATTCATGTGTTCACTGGAGAAGCACTTTTAATTTCCTTCAAGAACTATTCCTTTGCATTTGCAACCTGGCTAACTGGTGCAGGAGGCCTAGCTTTCAGCCCATCTCTGCTTTCAACATGTCTTCTTTGTGAAGCTTAACCATTTCTAGCTTTTGATTTAAAGAGTGAGATGTGCAACTCTTCTTTTCACTTGAACACTTAGAGGCCATCATGGGGTGATTATTGGCCTCATTTCAATATTATTGTTTCTCAGGGACTAGGGAGGCCTGAGGAGGGGGGAGAGAGACAGGAACACAGCAGGTCGGTGGGGTAGTCAGAACACAAGCAACATTGTCAATTAAGTTTGCTGTCTTCTGTGGGCACGACTTGTGGTGCCCCGAAACAATTAGCAACATCAAGGATCACTGACCACAGATCACCATAATGAATATAATTTAAAAAGTTTGAAATATTGTGAGAATTACCAAACTGTGACACAGAGATGTGAAGTGAACAAATGCAGTTGGAAAAATGGTGCTGATAGACCTGCTTGATGTTGGGTTGCCACAAACCTTCAATTTGTAAAAAACAAAAGAACAACAACAAAACCACAGTATCTGTGATGCACAATAAAGTGAAGCACAATAAAACAAGGTATTCGTGTGAACTGTTTTCTCCTGTTAATCTTTTTGTTACTGGGGTCTCAGCCAAGAACTCAGAGGGTAAAGGGAAAATTATGTCTTCTCTAGTACACCCATACACACTCCTGAGACTCAGGACTGAGCTAGAGTGAGTCATCCAGACTAGAAATGTCAGCGGGGGAACCGTCCACGTCAAGTTGTAGTTGAAACCACTAAGATGAGCTCCCTGAGAAGCCGTGGAAAGAAAAGAGGGGTGACAACTGCATCTCAGGAAAACCCAGTATTCCCATTCGAGTGGGTAGGAGAGAGTCATGGAAAAGTTTTCATGAGAAAGTGGTTGGAAGGATAAATGGTACAAGGAATACATCGTGTCCCAAAAAGGCAGAGAGGAGAGGGTTTGGAGAGGCAGGGCAGGACAATGGAGATCAACATTGGGGGGACAGAATTCTGTGGAGTCTTCTCCTGAAAGTTATTAAAAAGCCACCTTAGAGGGCTTGAAAGCAGGTAATAAGGGAGAGATTACGATCTCATATAGTAACTAACATACAGTCCAACTTAGATAATCTGCTTTATAGACTCCCATTGATACTCCTCATCCCTCTCCTCATCACCCCAGTGAGCGCTCAGGCAGATTGGCTCACTCTGAGGCAGCCACAAAGTCTTGGCCATTTCCCTTTTTTTTTTTCAAATTTCTGAGAACTGGTCTTTCTCCAGGATGCTGGGAGTTGGCCCCAGGCTACTACTGCAGGGATCCTGGTCGTGCTGGAAAGTCAGGTTTCTCAAAGGACCATGATCATCTTGTAAAAGGCACTGTCCTGTAGGGTAGGCTCCAAATTCAGGCTTCACTTTGGGACCAGACTTCCCAGGCACCTCCCTGCAAACCACAGCACTGGAGCTCAGCCTGCAAGCTGCAAAGAAGGCAGGGGATGGTGAACTCCTCCAGATCGGCCCAGATCTCACACTGGCTCTCACATAGGAGGACATTTTAGGGAAAATTCTATTTTGATGCAGGAACACAAGATTCTCTCCCTTTTGCTTCAAAGCGTCACAGAATTCTTCTGTGCTCAAATGACATTCAGGTGCGTAAGCCAATAAGTTCCTTTTGGTGCCTGAGCCAGATGGGGTTGGATTTTGTCAAATTAGGGCAGTTTAGGGGGAAGTCAGACCTGGGCGAGGGTCGAGGACATTCATTCACCCTTTCAGCAGATATTTATTGAGCACTGATTATGTTCCATGCGAGACCCTTGAGATTATAATGATGAAGACAGACCTGATGCTCACTTGCATGGTGTTTACAGCCCAAGGAGACTGGGAACAACAGCAACAGGCAGAGGAGATAGAGATGAACATGACGGGACTACCGTAGATAAGGGTGGTCAGAGGGGGCCTGTTGGAGGAGATGTCATTAGGCTAAGTCTTAAGACATGAGCTGTTATTAGATGTAAACATGAGGGGAAAAAACACAAACCAGTGTGAGCACAAAGGCCATTTGGTAGCAAGGGTGTGACACTGTGGAAGTGAAGGTACACCAAGTGGTAGGAAGGGGGAGGGGGTGTTCAGGGTTCAGGGAGGGGGGAGTGAGGACAGGGGAAGGGCAAGTGAAAGACCCTCGGGTCCTCTGAGCCCTCTGCTCTCGACTAGCCCTCAACCTTGGTGTATAAAGACCAGCTTCTAACAGCTCACAGCCACATCCCTAAGATGACTCCAGCCCCCCGCCCCCCACCTGAAAGTACCTGCCTGAGAAAACTCAAGGCTGTCAAAAACCTTTACTGTTTGTTCCTGAGCCATCACCTGAGGACAGGGCCCCTGGCCCTCAGTTCCATGGGAGGATATAGTCCAAATGTGGGTAGTTGCCAGCTAGCAGACGTAGCTGGCCTAACCACATTTATACCATCTCTTTGTAATCTGTAATTTGTCACTTCCCCGACTGTACTAAGGCCCCATTTGCCTCCTCTCCCTACTCCCTCATTGGCCCATTCAGCTCTACAAATCCAGGTTGAGTTCAGTTCAGGATGGACTCCTTTTTCCTATTGCAATAGTTATTACTGATTAAAATCTGTCCTTGCCACTCTAATTAGTGTCCAGCTTTGTTTATCTTTGACTCAGGCCAGCAGGACCTTCAAGGCACGGCCAGAAGTCTGAGTTTTATTCTAAGTGTAACAGAAAGTCCGTGAAGGGTTTAAACAGGGTTAACAAGCTACGACTTAGGTTTTAAGATCCCTCTGGCTACTGCGTGCAGAACAGAATGTAGCTGGGAAAGAATGAGAGTCAGAGGCCAGTTAGGCCACTGCAGTGGGTGGGTGAACATCCAAGCTATGCACAGTATCTATCTAGTACATCATAAACTATCAAGAGGTAGCTGTCACAAATTACCCTTTACTCTCTTTCGGTCATCACTGTGGGTGAGTGAGAGTCATTCCCATGAACTGTTTGCTTCCCTACTTCTCCCATTTATTACTCAGCATTGCTGGGAGAGCTGGATCACCATTTGGGTAATTTTTCAAATGTAGAAAAATAAATTCTAATGCCGAGAGAAAGAGAACATTAGAAAGAAAGGGAGAAATACAGCTGTGATCAGTCAGGACACACATTTCCCAGCTCTCCCACTGTGCCTCTCAATTCAAAGAGATTTTCCTATTTTCCAGTGAGATGCTGGTCCCCATTCCTCCCCTCAGCTCAGGAAAAGCACGGTAATTTCCCTATATGCTTTTTCTTTAACAAAGCTCCTGGAAAATATTGCCAATGCACTGCGACATTGGATACTAAGAGCAAATTTTTTCCTCTAACACTTGAATACAGTCTCTGTTTTTCATGTTTGCTGGATCATTCCTGCTTTTAGTTTTGGCAAATGAGAACAGCAAGCAGCCTCCTGGGAAGTCAGCGTTCGGTACCTAATATTCCATGGTGGGCACAGGTGTCAGCAAGGGCAGGGGACAGGCTGTCTCTCCCATCCTTTCCTCTCCAGCTGAAATCAGGCAGTCTCCCAGACGGCACTGCTGGAACCTGAGACCGCACTTCATCGGTCCCGCTAATGACTGCATAGGAATAAATAATTGAGATTGTTAATGAGGGCTTGAGTTATTTTCCCATTGAGCCCAGCTTTCTGGCAGCTGCTGTCATTTTCACACCCTTGCCTCAGAATCAGCAAATATTTGGAATTTTTTTTTATGTGGGTGTCTTTGATAGCGCCCCTGGGAAATAAAGTAGGTCCCAGCCTGTCCACTCCAAGCATCGCTGGAGAAAGGGAAATAAAAGCAGTCCACAAATGTGAACCTGTTTTCTGCTTTGAACCTCCCTTCCACACAAGGTAGAAGCCAAGTCACACGTAGGGTCTCTTTCTCTAGGGGTTGCACTTAAATTTGGGGCAACTTCTCTAAAGCCAAGGAGTGGGTGTCAAGTGGCAGATCGGTTCAGTGTCCTCCTTGACCTCCACTGGGATGTTCTCATTTGTGGCCAGACTGCTGTGCCTGCCTCTTGCCCACCACCGGGTCTCTGGCTTCTCTGTGTCGTGCTGCCCTCCGTTGTTCAGAAACACCTCAGGGCTCCTGCCCCATCAAAGTGACAGGAACTCCATTTCCATGGCCACGGGGACCCCTGGCACCGCAGCATTGATCCCCTGCCACAGCCTGTGAAACAGAGTAACTCAGCCCTACCTGCTCACATTGAAGATTGCACCTGGTGGCCCACATGCGGCCTTCAGGTGTGTCTTGTTTGATATGTACTGATTGATGAAAAAATTAAAAATTAGAGCCATCCCATAAATCAGAAGATTTCACATATTTCAGATTCTCCTCCCATCCTTTTCTGTCTCTTGGTGTTCTTGGAGCCCACAAATAGGCTTATATCACCTTAAAAAAAATCATTGCCCACAACATGCCTCAATCAACCACTTCAAGCTTTCTTTTCCAGGTCTGCTTCACAGGTAACACTGTATGGCCCTAAAGACTCAACATTCCCTAAACCCCATGTTTCTCCAACTCTTTGTGGTGGAGGACCAATTTTTAAGTTTCCAATCTATCACAAATCAATCGTTTTCTAAAAAAAAAAAATAATAATAATAAAATGTAATACCAGAAAAATGAAGTTAAAAAGATAAACACAAATACAAGCTCAATTTATTATTATTCTTAGTGTGAACAGAAACAAAATTACTCTATAAAATTGCTATATAAGCTTTTTAAACGCTTACTCTGAGTTTCTGTACTTCCCTCACTGTGGATCAATAACAATTGTAAGCATGGCCCTAAACAATTCCCAGACTTCTCTGCCTTCGTGGCTTTGCTTATGCTCTTCCCTCTACCAGGATGCCGTGCTTGCTGTCCACCTTCCCTTCCTTCCCTCCCTTCCCTCCCCCACATCGGGTTCAACTTCCGAAAACCTTCTGATCCTTCAAGGCCCTTTCAAATGTAGCCTCTGGTAGGAGGCATCTTACCTGCTCTGGGAACCCCCTTTGGGCACAGACTGACTCTCATCCCCTTGGCATCGTATAATGATAATTGTGCACTCTGTCATCATACCCCTACCTGCTGTTAAACCTCCTCAGCTCAAGCACTTTCCCACGGCACTAACCCAGAGCCTTGTACATGGTAAGCTTTCAACACACCATTGCTGGGTTGAAGTACTTCAATGAAAAAAAAAAAAAAAAAAGCGAGGAAGCCATTGGATTGGTCACAGAGTGTTACTGGCAAAGTGGAAACAAAACTCAGTGCTTTGGGCTCTTAGTTTAATTACCACGAATCCTCACAAATTTAGCCCTAAAAGTGAGGTAAGTCAGACAGAGAAAAACAAATACTGTATGACATCACTTACATGTGAAACCTAAAAATTAAGCCAAACTCATATATATGGAAATTAGAATGGTGGTTACTAGGATTACTACACTGGGGAGATGTTGTTAAGAGTACAGCTAGCAGATAAATTAGTTCTGGAGATCTAATGCGCAGAATAGTGAATACAGCCAATAATACTGTATCATAAACTTCAAAGTTGCTAAGAGACTAGATCTTGTCCTCACCACAAAAAAGAAATGATAATTATGTGACGTGATAGAGGTGTTAGCTAATCCTATTGCATTATATAAATGCACCAACCCAACATGTCCTATACCTGAAGCCAGTGTCCATTAACACTGGATGTCCTATCACCCCCAGGCTCAGCCCAACTAACCAAGGAACCTGTAGGAATTGCAACCCCCTAGCTTACGAGTAGTTAACCAGCACGACCTTAGAGATATAATCACCAAGTGTACCTAATGAATTCTCTAATATAAAGAATAAAGAAATCTTTTCAGATTCCAAGTCTCTCGAAAGGGAAAAGACCTTGAGGGACCTGACAAAGCAGTACCAGAGAACCTGCTAGCATGATATCATGGGCATCCAACCAACAGCATCCACTTTCTCAAAAGACCCCTACCCAAATTTTGCCCTTAAAACTCCTCCATTTGCAAGCCATCAGGGAGTTCAGGACTTCTGAGCATTAGCTCCCTGTTCCCCTGGGTGATGCCACACCAATAGACAAGCTCTCTTTCTTCTCCGAAAAAGCTCCGTGTCCATTTTTATTGGCTTGCTGCACTTTGGGGAGACAAACTCTCATTTGGTTCAGTTACACACCTTAAACTTACACGATATTTTATGGCATATCTGAATTTTAGAAGCAAAAGTAAAAACAAAAAACCTTGAGCTATTATAGAGCATCACAGAAAAATCTGATGAACAAAAAAAACCACAGCTCTATTTATTGTTGCCAAGTGAAATTTGGCAGTCTGAGTATCTTACCTGAATTATAATGAATGTTCAGACATCTTGAAGTACATGTAAAAGCCTCAGAAATAGAATTCACATGTTCTTTGACCTTGGTACATGTTCACCCAAGAATGGGAATTCCTAATTCTTTTTCTGGCTTAAAAAAGGGGATGGGGAGAGGAACTCAAGAGAATCAAGAGACCCAAAATGGTGTTACTCAGGTGGGTGCTAGAGGGAGATCATCCAGCTTCAAAGAGATTGTTCTTGGAGAAGAACACCTCTCAGGGCTGCAACAGGGAAGGAACCAGCCAGCTTGGGAGGGATATTGAGGACACATGTAAAGTCCTGACTTCCCATTCAGGGCCTCCCTGAAGTTGAAGGAGGCTAGACCATTTCCAGTTTTTGAGGTTTTAGGTTGATTTTGAAAATTAAGGAACTCAAAACCTTGTAAAAATTGTGGTATATATTAAATGTTTAATATATACCAAATTACTACTTCTCTCTCTCTCTCTTCACACACACACACACACACACAGCATTTGTAGCTTGACGTGGAAGTTAAAAGTCTGTATGTGAGATTGTTTGGAATTCAGCCAAGACATGGGGGTTCAGGTTATTTGTGGCTGATATTCCCTTCTTTCTGCCCACCAAATTTTGAATATTTGCTTCTTAGTCTGTCTTGGGAACCATTTGCAGCTATTTCCCCCTGTATAGTCAAACATCCCCCAACATTCTTATTCATTTCCATGGTTTTAATTGCCATATGTTTGCTTATTCTCAAACATATACCCTCAGGTCTGGGGAAATTATTAAGCTTTCTATGCCTCAGTTTCTGGATCTGTTAAATGGGAATAATAATGGCACTTGCCTCATAGGCTTGTGAAGTTTAAAATTTAATTAATATATGCACCAATATATTGTACATATATTACACATGCATACATGTACATATATGTATATACACAGTACACACAAATTTGTATGCAGTGACATACATATCATGCATGTTTTATATATATACATGTGTATAGGTTTGTGTTATGTTAATTCATATGTACATATGTGTATACATGAATATACAAGGAATGTGTTTGTGTATATAAACTGCTTGCAACATAGTACACATTGTATTATTTTCTTCTCATGCTCAGTGCTTGAACCACACTGAATCAACAGTGGTTTCCTCTCTTCTCTGCTCCTTTGCACTTGTTCCTCTCTCAGCCTAGAATAGCCTCCATTTGGCTGTCTTTCTGACTCAGATCAGGTCACCACCTTTAGGTGGCCTTAGATCACCTTCTCTCCAGTTAGGTGTCCTTTCCACATGGCAACTCCCTTCAGCATATCGCCACTCCATGTAATTATTTCTTATCTGTCCCCATCACTAGACTGTGAACTCCTTGGTAGCATTTGTGTCTTACTACTTTGGTACGCTCATCATCTAGCACAGTGTCCAGGCACAGAGCAGGGCTCACAAAATATTTGTTGAACAAGTGCAATCTAAAAAAATCTATAGGCAGGGCTCATATATACATATGTAAGTGTGGACAATGACCACTGTGGAGAGCCTGGGCCATCTACAGGAGAGGGAGGAGGGCATAGGGTAGTACAATGGGAGAAGACCCTCTATTTCCCGGGTGGTGGAGGAAGGGGGCAGGGTTAGCAGGAATATGGCCAGCTTTGCAGGTGAGTGCCCTGGGTACATTTTGCTGCTCTTATCTCTGCAGTGCGGTAGGTTCCAGCCATAGCTTTGCCCCTAATTTGACTGTGATCTTGGAAAACAACTTCGCTTAACTTCAACTTCCTCATCGCCAATTAACTACTCTACCTGTGATGGCGTTTAGCTGGATCGACCTCTGCGGCAGAGTGGACTACTTCGGGCTGTGTCCCTCCTGACTGGGCAGTGTCCATGCCTTTCTGGTTGTTAGCTTCAAACAGCCACCCTAGCCCCTAGCTACATGTTAGGTATAAATGTCAAGTTGCTTTCCTTTTCGTCTCATATTTCATAAATATTAGTCATTTGCATACCACTTTCTGATTTTTCCTATATTCACATTTTACCTACACTCATTTTTGGCTTAACATTTTTATTTAAATTCATCACTTTTTATTTATGCCGACTTTAGCCTTGTTCTAAGCAAAAATATTCTTAAATTCATGAATTTGATACGCAAGGGGCACTTCTGAATACACGTAAAAAAATATAACTGTTACAATGTGTAATAGTCATCTGCGTGGTTTCTACAATGATCTTGGGTGATGGCATGCTCATTACCCTTTGGGGAATCTCAGACACGGGTGGCTCTCAAAGGGGGACTCCCTGGATCAAGGGCATTAGCATCACCTGGGAACCTGTTAAGAATGCCATTCTCCAGCCCCACCCCAGAGTTATTGACTCTCAGACTGAGGGTGGGGCCAGCAATCTGTGTTTAAACAGGCCCCCCCAGGTGATGCGCTCAAGATTGAGAATGGCTGTCAGAGAAGTTGGTGCACTCCCATGAGCTGACTTCCTCTACCCAGGAGTCTCTAATTCAGACCCTTCCCCCAGCTTTGGCTCAGCCCTGCCTCCCTTCAGGGCCATTCATCATTCTGGTTCAGCCACTGAGACATGAGCAACAGCACAGACACACCTGCTTTTCCTGCAGCTAGCACAGCCTTCTTTGGAACAATTTCCTTCCCACCTTATTGTTTCCCAATCTTTCGGGCATTGAGTTGATTAAATTCAGAGGAAGAAATAGGTCAAATCCTCTGTTCCATAAAAACCAGTTACCTTCTCTGTCCTCCTCATTCTGTCCTGTGAGGTGGGGTAATCTTTTTCCTTCCTTTTTCTCAGCATGGTCTTCTACGTTGTCAAGGCCCTCCGCACGGGGCAGGGGGGCACGAGGATCTCAGATGTTGCGTAGGTGCTCTAAGTCCTGGTAGACGCACGTAGGTGCGTCTCTGGTCCTCTGAGCAGAACCACTATCCCTGAAGGGAGAATCATAGGAGCTTGTAAGCCATCTTGCTTTGCTCAGCCATGGACACTGCAGTGTATATATTGATGCCGGCAGGACAAGTCCAAGGACCCAGACTGGGGTCCCACAGAACCAGTCAAGAGGGTCCTTGGCTTCGAGCAGGATGGAAATCAAATGTGAGCCGGCAGTAGGTAAAAGCAGAGTTTACTGAAGATATATACAGAGAGAGATACAGACAGAGCATCTGGGACACTAGGAAATGAAAAGAGGGAGTCTCATCTTTGCTTGGGCTCTGGGGTTTTTATTGATGATTGTCTGGTGCACTTGTCCTCTCAGACATCCAGAAACTTGTCAGAATGAGGACAAGATCCAAGTGGACATCATAAGTCACTTATTCCCTGAAGTCAGGGGTCTTGACGTTGAGATGTCTAGCACCAGTGGTCTGGAATATGCAGGATAACTTCCTTCCTCTGGTCCTTCTCAGCTGGTCCTTCCTTCCTTAGATGTTATTTATTCTAGAGAAATCATTAACTCCTTGTCCCTTACAAGGAGGACATATACTATTTGCATTACAAGGCGTGTGTAGAGTGAGGTGGGGGTGCAGGTCCTGGCAAGAATAGAAGCCAGAAAAAAAGCAAAGGGAAAAAACCAGCTTTTTCCCTCCTGGGGTCCCTTTAGTTTCTCTGTCTCAATATCACTGTTTCCTGCAGGCAGCTTCTTCATCTCTTCTCCCCCTATGCTCTCAACTATGCTGATTTCAGCTATTTCATGCTTCAGCTTCCTACCTGCCAGGGAAGCCTAACCATCTTCTCTGTTCCACCCCCACCTCTCAGAGAAGCTCTACTGTTGCATTCCCTGGGTTATCCCCATCCTCTGAAACTCCCAGCCAACAGGTCCAAAGCTAGAACATATCACCTTTGAGGGGAGGGGAAAAAAATTTTCCCTTTACCTTTCTAAATTCTTGGCTGGGGCCCCTACTACAAAAGACAGATTAACAAAAGAAAAACAAACAAGTTTATTAGCTTGTATATCTCATGTATACATGGGACACACCCAGGGGAAAAATGAGAAACTCTCCAAGAGGTGGTTTAGAATTCAGGCTGAAGTACCATCTTTAGCTAGAAACAAAAAAGGGTATGGGGAAGGCCAGTGTATGGGGATAACCAGGGAAAGTTTGGTCCATCAGAGTTTTATTATGCAGATTTAAGTTGGTAGCTTCCCCACTGATAAGACTTTTTTAGGATTCACTCACCCCTCTCTTCCAGGTATAGAAGGGAAAAGCCCTCACAAATGCAGATTTCTTTTATAAATGTAACTTTCCCTTACAAAAGGGTAACTTCTACTCTGTTTTCAGGGCTTCTCCTCTGTCTGCTGTTTCTTAAAATAATCAGCTCAAAACAATCTTTATGCCAACAGGGCCTATTTGGGGATGACAAATTCTCACCCTTCACCTTCCACAATAACCCACTTATTTTTTTGCCTTTCCCATCTCAGTTAATTGAGCCAAAGTCTGCTGCATCATCCAAGCCAGAAAACCTTGCCTCTTCCTCATACACAATCGGTGGGTTAGCAAGGTGTGGGGATTCTGCCCCTTCATCCTGAATCTTTCCTCCTTGTACCCTGAAAGCCACGTTCTTAGTGAAGATCCGCAGTCTATTGAGAAAACAGCTTCCAAGCTGGGCAGTCCTTTCTGCACCTGCCCCCTACTCAGCAGCTGAAGCAGATTTTAAATAACAAATCAAATCATTTGGCACTTCCCTATGAAAACTTTTTCCACTACCACCTGCTGGATAAAGTTCAACACTCTCGCAAACCAGGCCCTTGAGCACCTGATCCCAAACTTCTTTCCTGTGTTGTTCCCAAAGCATGCTGGAGTCCAACCACACAGAACCATTTGCCATTCCCAGAACACAGGAGCCTTCCTGCCTCTGGGCCTGGGAGGCCTACCGGTGGGCCCTCCTTTCCCAGTTTGGCGATTTCCCACCAGCCCATGTATCCCAGCTCTAGTGTCAACTCTGGAGATTTCCCTGACTTCTCCTCACATCCAGCCAAGCCTGGTCCCTATCCCCTGTGCACCTGCAGTGGCTTTTAAATGAGAGCACCTGCAGAGCTCTCATTTAAATGAGAGCCCCTGCATATCCCCTACTAGGAGGGGATATGGTGGTCTTTCATTTGCCTTGGCCCCCCTGGGGCCTAATGCAGACACTAACAAGTACTGCAGCAGCCTACAGGGATCAACCCCTTTCCAGGTGTTGGGAGGACATTTTCCTCTACCCTATTAGGTTCCCTGACTGAGTCTGAAAATTAAGCTGATGAGGACAGATGAACAAGAGAAAAGCATACACATTTTTTAAATGTTTACCTGTACTGAGAGTCTTTGTAAGAGAGAAAGGTGACCAGAGCAGGAAGCTTTTATACCATTTAGACAAAGAAACTGAATTTGTGAAGAATTGATAAGACAAAGGGATTTGGGCCAGGGGTAATCCAACTAGGGCTATGTAGTCCTCGGAAGATAAGGGTTAATTTAACAAGATTTGTTTGCAGATTGCTCTGATCCCATCTCTGGGTTGATTGGAGTCTGACCCCAGTAAAAGAAGAATTTATTTCCTGCTGATAGAAAAGGGGGAGTTTTCCCCTCAAGGTTTGTTGCTCCCTAACTGCCTTCAGCTCAATTTTTTTAAGGTTTATTGATTTATTTGTATTTATTTATTTATTCTTAAGATTTTATTTATTTGAGAGAGGGAGAGAGAGCACACACACAGGAGCAGGGGGAGAGGGAGAAGCAGGCTTCCCGCGGAGCAGGGAGCCCGACGCGGGGCTCGATCCCAGGACCCTGGGATCATGACCTGAGCTGAAGGCAGACACTTAACGGACTGAGCCACCCAGGCGCCCAAGGTTTATTGATTTATTTTAGAAAGAGAGAGAGACCATGTGCATGTGGTGAGGGGGCAGAGGGAGAGAGAGAATCTCAAGCAGACTCCTGGTGAGTGAGGAGCCAACACAGACCCCAATCTCTCAACCCTGAGCCAAAATCAAGAGTTGGATGGTTAACTAAGTCACCCAGGAACCCTCAAAATAACTTTCATGTCAAAGAGGTATAATTTGGGGTGACATATTCTGGTTTCCTTCATGGGCTACCTCATAGCCACAGAGTCCCACATCTAAGCATGAAGAGTTGTAAACACGTTCCAACTCCTAACAAATCTGGAAACCCAGAGCAGATCCCACATTTTGCCTCAAGTCACCAGGGCCCTGGTTCTGCTGCCATCCCATCCACACTAGGCTCCTTAGACAACATTCACCCTCTAAGCTGAGAACCTAAACCCTCTATCGCCAAACCCTGCAGCTTACTATCTTTAGGAATTCATCCTCACTATTCTGTCACCTCCATTAGCATAACTTTACTAGTCTAGAGACTCTGACCTTGGAAAAGCAAAGTTGCAAAACTTTGTTTCATTATAGAAATTCTGGGAAGTCTTGTCAAGTCATCAGCAGATAGTTTACATCCTAGATTTGCCTTACCTTGTTGTTTCCCGCAGTCGTAGACTGTTATAATCCTTACCCAATCCTTACCCAAATCCTAACCGAATCCTTACCCAGTCCTTCCTTACCCAATCCTTACCGAATCCTAAACAAACCTCCTTCTCCCCACATCAAAAGATCTACCTTAGGGGTGTGCGGCTGGCTCAGTCAGTAGAGAATGCATCTCTTGATCTTGGAGGTTGAAAGTTCAAGCCCCACGGTGGGTGTAGAGATTACTTAAACATAAAAAAAAAAACAAACCCAAAACCTACCTTAAACCAGACCTCAAAGTCTTAATCAGACCTTCCCCTTTCCCTATCAAGACACGATCAGACTTCCGTATGGTGGTTAGCAAGAAACTCAGCTTTGCCTCATTAACAGGTTGTTTGGGAAGCCAGCAGTCAAAAGGGCTTTGTCTTCTCCAGGCTTCTCCTACCTAACGAGGAGATTGTTAGTTTGCATTCAAAGGGAGTTTGGTTCTCTCACCAAGTTCGACAATGAAATTCTCTATCTTTAGATGTAATGCCCGTGTGCTGTGAAAAACCTGACCACAGCACTGAGACGATGCTTCATGTCTCTAGCTCAAAATCTTCCTTCGGCTTCTTCCTGGCCCCAAAAACCCACCTGCAGAAGGAAACACGATGACGTGGTGCCTTCTGAGAACTTACCAGCAGAGGGTGCTCTTTAAAAAAGAATTATTTGGAAGCCGCTTTGCCGGGACCGGAAAATTCCCACACAGGAGGCACCATTTAATTTTAATTATTGTAATTAATGGTAAATGCAAGTGGAGCTTCCACAGGACATACACCAGAACAGGCACAGAGTGATAGAAGTGCCAAGGGCGGGAAACCCAGCAGAGAACCTTCCCAAAGTGGCGCTCAGATGAGGATTTAAAGCCCCTAGTGGGGTTTGCCTCCTTACCAAGACTCCTGCAGTTAGAGAAATTTCCCCCAAGTAATTCTGAAACCTGCCACATTTAGCTCATGCTGCGTTAAAGTCAGAACTACTTACTTTGGCGTTCCTGAGAAATTATTCTCAACGTTCATGCAGAAAGCCCCCCTAAGCCAGGAGTTGGCAAACTTCTTCTGGTAATAATAGGTATTTTCACTTTTGCTTGCAGGCTCTGTAGTTTCTGTCATAACTTCCCAAGTCTGCTGTTGCAGCACAAAAATTACACAACGTATGGGTGTGGTTGTTTTCTAACAAAACTTAATTTATGGACCCTGAAATTTTAAATTTTGTCTAATTTTCACAGGTCACAAATGTCATTCTTCTTTTGATTTTTTCCAACCATTTAAAAATGTAAAAACCGTTTTTCATTTGTAGGCCATTACAAAGACCAGATTTGGCCCATAGCCCGTGGTTTGCCAAACTCCTGCTCTAAGCCATCTGTCAGCCCCCTTTTAACTCCATCTGTAATTGCAACACCTCACCTGAGAGAATATCTTTGTAAATTTTTCTCCCCGAGACCATCTAGCAATATCCTCCAAAAACGATAAAGGAAACAAAACAGCTCTTTGAGGTCCTACTATTACTGAGCAAGAGTTGTTGAAAATTCTGCACTGGGTTCAGGGGTTCATAAAAACACATGATTTTCAAGGGTCAACACAACTAACTACTTTTTCTGGTGTGACTATTTACTGCAAAATGCATGTTTTGCCCCGGAGGCTCTGCTGGGTCAGCACTGAACTAGCAGGGAGAGTGTAAGCGAAGCCAGATACACCAGGGTCTTGGACATGTGTGTGACTGAACTTCTTCAGCTGCTCCTTCTTTCTCTGTAAAATGACGGGATGATATTCTCTAACCAAAGGGCCTTTAAGGAGGATGCCAAGAACCTGAAATGCAGTAGGCACTAAACGGACAGTAGCTTTTATTACCCAGAAGATAGAAATGAGCCCTCAGAAGTATTTCATCAGTGTATGAGAACCAGCATATGCTCCAACATTAGTAATGGGTTATGTAGTGTCTCAGTCCATCTGGGCTGCTATTGTCACAGAATATAGTAGTCCATGTGGGCTGGATACCATAGACAGGGTAGATCATAAACAACAGAAATGTATTACTCACAGTTTTGCAGGCTGGGAAGTCCAAGATCAAGGTGTCTGGTAAGGACCTGCTTCCTGGTTCACAGACAGCTGTCTTTTCTGTGCCCTCACACAGAGGAAGGAATGAGGGATTGTTCTGGACTCTCTTTTCTAAGGGCACTAATCCCATTCATGAGCAGTCACCCTCATGACCTAATCACCACTTTTAAAGGGCCCACCTCCAAATACCATCACATTGGGGGCTAAGATTTCAACAGATGAATTTGGGGGGACACAAACATTCCGTGTATAGAATATGGTAATATGACTGGATGGTAAGATCCTTGAGAGCAGGGCATACACAGAGTTCCTCTTTTTCTGACTCACTTAGTCAGTGCCTGGCACCTAAAGAGGGCCTCAGTTGTTGCGGAACACCTGTGCCCTGATGGAAAGCCATGCGTTGCTGCGAGCACACGCTTCTTGGTTATCTGGTTCCCATGGGGGCTCTGCACCTTTTCTTGCCTTTGAGCTATTTTACAACTCTGTGAGTTACGGAAAACTGATAGCCATGTGAAATGCTTCTTACTTTAGATATGCAACTAAATTCTGTCTCGGGGAGGTTCAATAGACTTCTCTCTCCCTTTGTGGAGGAAGATAGTTTTGTACCATTAGCAAATTCATTTCAGTATTCCTGATCGGCAAATGTCTCGGCTTTTTGACTTCTGCTTTATAACCAGTTGTAACATTTACCCGATTTCCTTATCAATAATGAGTTAAATAAAATCTTCAACATGTGTTTCTTACACCTGTGTGAGAGGCATGATTTTTAACTATTTTGTGGAAAATTATCTCCTAACACACCGTTTAACTGTGAAACTGAATTCAGGAATGTCTTTTTAGAAAACATTTGAACAGCATCCCAGGGGACAACCTAACATATTTCTGTCTTGCCCTTTGAATCATCTTCTCTTAGGTTCTACTCAGGGCTCTGACACTAAATAGCTATAAGACTTAGAATGACACATTTCCTCATCTGCAAAATAAGGGGTTGGAGGAGGAAACTGTTCATAAAGTGGCAGTTTTCAAACTTTATGGTCGAAGGACTCCTTTCTACTTTTAAAATTATTGAGAACACCCTCAAATTATTAAGGCTTTGGTTTATGTGGGTTATATCTATTGCCATTTATCACATTGGAAAGTAAAACAGAATTTTCTTTAAAGATATGCACTTATTAATTCATTGAAGTAACAATAACAAACCCATTACATGTTAATATAAATAACATTTTTATAAATATAAATATGTTCTAAAACAAAACATACAGTGAGACGAATGGCATTGTTTTACATTTTGGCAAATGCTTTTATTGCTTGGCTTACTACGAGTGCTGGATTCTCATATGTGCATTTGCATTCAATCTGCGGTGACGTCAATATTACGTAGGCTCTAGAAGCTCCATTGTACACTCATGAGACAATGAGAATAGAAAAGGCAAATAATATCATATCATTATAATTTTGAGCTACCAGACCCCCAGAAAGGATCTCAGGACCCTCAGGAGTTCTGGAATATTATTTGAGACCAGCTGTTGTAAAGTAAACCAAGACGTCCTACAGGTGGAAGCAGTGATTTTTTGATGATGGGATGTACCAGGGCATCGTGCCGACAGACCCCTTTCTTAAAGCGACAGTTTGCTTTGGCAAACAGTCTGGAAGAGTAAGCTTTTTCTCATGTGTGTACTTATGCAAATGCAGGAGCATCTGTTGCTCTGTGCTGGGATCCTGTGTGACAAGCTCTGGTGGGATATTGCATATTCCTGGAGTCAGGATAGGAAATGGGGTGGGGATGGGGAGGGGAAATGGGAATGAGCACCATTCTTATCTCTTTCCAAGAAACTCTGGGTGAATTCTTGAAACTGCATTTGCAAGGGCCTCTGTCCTGAGATTCTTCCTGATCCCTTCTCAAATCAGGGCTTTTGGAATGAAGCCCCTGGAAGCCTCCACTGCCACCCAGACCCTGCTTCTGACCCTTGGAGGGTCACTGGGCTCTGAGATTACAGGGGAGCAGTTGTTAGAACAGCAACTGGAAAGGGAAGGGATTTTCCCCTCCTGAAAGTCCGGAAAAAAAAAAACAAAACACTTCAGACCTTCCCTGTCAGACTCCTCCTTCATGGTTTTCCCTGCACGGGCTCAGTGATACCAGGAAATATTTCTTGTGCAAGTGACCACTTTCTAGGTACCAAATGACCACAGTGAAGAAGAGGCAAGGATCGACAAGAAAGAGTTCCCTGATTTCTTCCTTCCAGAAAAGCGATCCAGGGGTTTGAAGTTTACAAACAATCTACTTATTCTACAAATGAGAACAGATTCAGAACTTTCTAATAGCCTACTTCTCAAGTACTTGTGTTCCAATTTCCATGATAAGATAGTAATTAAGGGTTAAATTTTTGGAATCAAGACAGATGTAGGTTCTTATCTTTGATCTCCACTTCATAGCAATGGGAACTTGGGGGAAATGTCAACCTTTCCAGATCTCAAATTCCTTAGCTGTAAAATGGAGGGGAATTAGTTCAAGTGTCCCCCGAAGCAGAGCCTGGACCTAGACCTTGGGTGAACATAGTTTAATGGTGGTGAGAGTGATCTTAGAAAGCAGAAAAGTAGGAAGAAAAAAAAAAAAAATGAGACAGACCAGAGGGAAAAAATCAATAGGGTGTGTTCCTGGGCTGGTTACTATTCTGGACAATTGAGGCTCAATCCTGTCGGAGACCCTCCGAGAAACCATATGAAATGTACCCCAGAATTATCCTCTGAAGGGTGGGTGCCTGAGACATTAATCTCATCCCTCATTGCTTGAGGATTGCCTCTGGGGGGTGGGGGGGGTGGGGGGAATGAATTTCCCCAGGGAAGAATGAATCTCCACCACAGCTGTGGCTGAAATCAAAGTGGGTCACTGGATGTGACACGAGGCACACAAGATATCTGCTACAGGAGATAGATGACATCCGTGTCATAGAGTCACTGTGAGCATGAAACGCAACGGTATCTTAAAATCGTTGAGCATTGTGTCAGGCACATGGTTAAGTGCCTGATAAGTGTTTGCTTGGTTGTTGCTGCTATTATGGCAGTCATCATCGTGATTGTGATCACTGCACGTTCTTCAGTGAGAGACACAGGGGTAACTTGATGGCTTAGGGGACTCCAGGGATGGTACCTAATCCACAGCCCATCTCTTCCGTACCGCAGCCTGTATGATTTACCATGACCCAGGGCCAGTTGTTGTGATTATCATAGTACTCTTATTTTCTCCTTTTGTGTGTGTGTGTGTTTTGCCAAAATTCGGGCACAAAGATAGGGCACATTCTGTCAGTTGTATGGGTGGAAAAAAGGCTGCTAACCGTTGCTTTGGAGCAGCTCTGTCTAATAGGACTTCCTACAATGATGGAAATGTTCTAGATCTCTGCTATCCCATACGGTAGCCACTAGCTGCATGTGGCTCTTGGACACTTGAGATATGGCTAGTGTGGCTGAGGGACTGAATTTTTACTTTTATTCCATTCTAGTTAATTTCTGTCTCAGTTTAAATAGCCACATGTAGACACAGTAGAGGGCACTTAAGGATAGTGTTCCCAGTGCATCGTGGAAAAGACCCTGCCCCTGGGGCTAAAATGAAGGTGATGTGGCCAGTGGTGTAATTCATCTGGCCCCTGGGCCCGCAGGTGCCCGCTAGATCTCACTTCTGGTTTGGAGGGTGGTGGTATCACTGGGGTCAGGGAGCTGCTGACTGAAGAGAATGAAGTCCCAGCAACACTAGCTGGAACCAGTTTGGGGGAAGAGAGGCCACAAGCTCAGTGCAGTTTGGATCATTGTTCTGTGCACAGAGCCAATTGCTGACCATCGTGCGGCAGGGAGCCGCCTTCTTAGTTGCCTTTGGAAGGCTCGCAAGACCAGCGTTTACTAGTTGTACCTCTGCCTTGTCCCATTTCTCTCTGCAGGCATGTGTGCCATGCTGAACCCACAGTACTTGGCCATGATCGCTAACGTTCTCAAGTGCGGCGCGAGGCACCGAGGGCTGTTCAACTGGTGTTTTC